CTGTACAGCTCAGGAATGTGGTCCGCGGGGACGCCCGTCCCTCTCCCAGGGGCCTGTGGGCCGCCGATTCGGCAGTTCCCGAGGTGGTTCTAGCTCTGCTCGCAGACAACCGTCGGGGAACACACCGCCCCCGAGGCAGCCGTTCATGTCAGTCACATTCTGAGCGAGGACATTCTGTACTTCCAGCTACTAAGTGTGACCCTCACCCTCACCCTCACCCTCGGCCCGGGCGAGCCTGCCTAGCGCTGGTCACCCGGCCATTTCCTCTGCTTCCCGCCTTCTGGTCTGGCCTCTGGGTATTTTGCATTTTAGAGTCAGTTTTGTGGCCTGAACTACTTTCTGTGCCAAGAGACCTGTCTACCGCCTCTTCCATGCTGCCTTCCGGGACTGACCCTGGCAGCTCAGTGAGGTCCCTTTGCTGGCGTCGGGGTTGCCAGGGCGGGACGGTCTGGACGGGGTCTGTCTCTTTCTGGGGGCCCCTTGAGTTCCCAGCCTTCTCCCCGAGTCCCACGGGTGCTGGTGGTCTCAGCGGAGGCAGGTGGGGTGGAAGGGGGTGAGGTGCCGGGGTTTGGGGCCTGATGAGGCCCCGGTGCTGAGGTCCCAGATGTGGCCCCTGGGCTTTGTACTCCACAAGAGGCCCCGTGCGCCCTCGGGCGGTGCTGGGTCTGGGGCTCTGAGCCTTGGAGGGAGGATCAGATAAGCGTGCGGGCGAGTCCCTGCAGTCCAGAGTAGGGCTTTTTCAGAAGAACCTTATCGCCCCATCGTTGCTGCTCATCAGAGGGCGGGGACAGCACCACGGGAGGAGGCGGAGCCGCGGCGCCGAGGGGTGGCCGGGCCCTGCAGGGCGGCTGGGCTGCTTTCGCCTTCTCTCCCTGACATTCCTTCCCTGGCCAGAGTGTGTCTCCGCAGGAGGCTCCAGAACACACGCCCAGCCATTGTCACCCCGGCTCCGGCTCCCGGCGTGTCTGCGTGGCGTCTGTAAACAGGAAGCGCCATGTGGGGCCTGGGGCAGCCAATCCTGCAAGGCGGGCATTGGGGGCCACGGCCCCTCCTGACACGGGGCCCCCAGGGCTCACACAGTCTGTTTGGAATAATGGCTGCAGCCTTGACACTGGGGTGCACAGGATGGGGCGCCCTGAGGAGCCAGGCACTGCATGTGGGGATGGGCTGCACCCAGAGGCCAGGGCTCCTTCCCATGCCCCCCCTTCCTCCCCGGCCCCTCCTCACGCCCTCTTTCCTCTCCTGCCCAGTACCCCTTCCTGCTCATTGGCTCCCCTCCTCAGGGCTCTGACTTGGGCTGGGTGCTGTGATGTCTTGGGGGGCTGGGGGAGCTTTGGGGTGCAGCCTGGCAGTCA